GGCACAGTACGATGTTCGATGTGTGTGAACGACTGATTCCAGTTCTGTCTTGTTGCTGTTCATACAACAGATGAAAAATTTTTAGGGGATAAATATACGCCTATATCTACCGTTTATATATTAAAATACGTTTAACAATGCTACGTTTAAGTGGTTTTGAACTATATTCTCTTTGGGTGCCCCTAATACAATACCGGATAGCTTTTCATGTCAGCACGAACAGCTATCCGGTATGTGGGCCCGGTTCAAACGTCGAACTTTACATGTGCCGAACCTAATACCTATTCAGGTCGACGCAAACTATTAAGTTCGACTGTTGATTCAGACGGTCGTACTTTACATGTGCCGAACCTAATTCGTGGCGAAAAGAAATATCATCCTTACTGCTTAAAATAGGGAAATAAACTGAAAAAAAAGTAAAATTCACCAAGCCCGGAAATTCTTGTTTTGATTTTAGTGTTATTTGTGCTCTGTTATGGCAAGGAGACAGCTGAGGAGATCGTGATCGTGATATTTGGACAAAATAAAGTAACCGCAATAAATTTTAAATTACATTATGATTTCTTTATGGATATAAAGAAAAGCAACTTTTTAGAAGACCGTTTTGAGCTGTCCAGTTTCAGTCTAAAAATCTACAACGTGAAAGCTGGTAACCAGACCGTAACAGTCATTACGCTTCTGTGAGTTCTGTCAGCACAGGCGCAAAAAATACGTTAACATAATTTATGCATTAGGTTCGGCACATGTGAAGTACGACGTATGAATCGAAGTCGATCTTTTGCCGTTCTATTCGACAGGCTCAGTCGAATAGAACGGCAGAGTCGACCCAAATACAAAAGTGCCGTTCCTAACTGATTCATACGTCGAACTTTACATGTGCCGAACCTAATAATTAGGTTCGGCACATGTAAAGTTCGACGTTACATAACACACTCGTGGCGTGAGCTTGGGAGGCCTGTGCATCAATTGACTGACTCATCAACACCATACGCCTTCAGCTGTGCTAACAATAAGCTGAGGAAGATGGAATCAAACGCTTTTGACAAGTCAATGGCGATTAAAACAAGTTTCCTTTTTGCTACTAGAGAGATTTAGAGGCACGTTTACGTTAAACGTTAAAAGTGAATTTGTAGCACATGACCAAGTTTCTCCCTTAATTGTAGTTTACTGTTTATTTTCTACCAACAAATAAGTAGTTTCACTCCAGTATAATCCATAAAAATTGTCTTAGACAGTTTTTATCTGCTTACTTTCTATTTTGGGAAATTCTCAACTCAAATCCTGACGTTCGCCGTTTGCCGTGAACGGACTCTTAATCTCTCTATTAAGTGACATGCGTCAATAATGAGTTAGCTTTACAAGTTCAGGGTAACAGGAGTGGCCACGTAGAAAGCAAGACGTGTCAGGAGAGAGACACCCATTGAAATTCGGGAGTACAGTTCATGAAATTATATTTTCTCAAACATTTTCGGTATAGCAGATACAAACCATATAGGACGCGCACGATAGCTGCAGTTATGGGAGGGGGGTTAATGGAGGATTTATGGTAACCCCAAACCTAAGTTGTTACAAAAGTACATTTAAGGGTGATTCTGACTTATCAGCGGAAGGAGGTTTCAAATTTTATGATTCCATTTAGCGCCCTCCGTCCAACAGAAAAAGGGCACGAATCAACAGATGAAAATTTTATACTTATTAACTTGGGCCAAAAGAAACTCCTTGACACCCTCTATTTGTTTTTTGATGTTTATGTTTTTTTTTTTCACCTGAGCGTTCTGTAACGTATAAAAATGGTGGATACATATGTTTTAGTATCAAACCTGCAAATTACCTTCTCATCTTGTGGTTGACTTAAATAGTCTCTGATATTTTCAGTCATCACAGCTCCAGGCCAAAGTGACACGCAAGCCACATTCTGTTCCTTCAGCTCCACAGCCATGTCTGCGGCCATTCGATCATTCTTAGAAAAATAGGAATGCAAAGAAATTATCAATGCAATCAGGATGATCTTGAATATGCACCTTTGAAAATTAAGTACCAGCCAATAAAGAACGAGTTTTCCAACGTCTTTAGTATTAAAGTACTAATTAATGAGTTTTAGCTAAGAAGTTGTAATTTCAAGAACCCAACTAACAGCGAAAATTAATACACGTATATTTTACAAGTTTTAATAACAATGTCAAGGAAGGCAGGCTAAGATACACCTGAATTCTTACGATAGTCATCATCAAGTGCCCTCAGGAATACTGGAATGGTCACCAAAAACCACATAATCACTGAAACTCCTTGACCGAGTTGACCCGGCTGGGTTTACATGAGGAAACGTTCGCCCAGCCAGGGGACTGACCCTACCATCGCAAAGGGGTGACCGCACCTTAGTCTCATGTAAACTGTTTGCCACGTTTTGCAAGGAAATGCATGAAAAGTTGGCTAGACGAGGGTGGCTCCGGTTGGCGAGGGACACTTTTGTCCGGGACAAGTTTTCTCCATATAAAGGAGCCTTATACAAGTTTTACCCACGTCTCCCTTGCAGTCAAACGTCTAAGGCGTTTTGCCTTTTGTTTTGTGGAAAAAATGGCCATGGACTCACTAAAGAATCATTTAATCATCTTTTGATTTTTCTTATAATAATGCGGTTCTTGTCGAAAACTCTCCGTGACGAGCTAACTTATGTGGGCAGATAGCAATTTTGCCGACTAAGTTTTCAAACGCTTAGAAATTTTTTAATAAACTTTCAAATCGTTTAGTAAATAGATAGTGTACTGCTAATGTATCACACTTCAAATAGCGAAAATAACAACCTCAGCTTGGTAGTACTTTTTTTAGCTTTTGCAATTTCTCTCATTTGACCGAGGTCAAACATCGGAAGAGTTTAAAGTTCAACCTCGTTTCCAGCGCCTCTCTCCTCTGTCGTTAGGGAGCTTAAGCAACGAAGACGGCGACGTCAACGAGGACAGCAAAAAAGCAATAGGCTTAGATTGGTAAAACAACAACTCTGCACGTGTATCACGCTTTGTTGTACATTTCCTTGGCGTGACGTGAAAATGTCTAACTTCACGTCTTGTGAAGGACGTGAACACAAGACCACAATTTTCTTTTTCCTTTACTGAATTTCGATACAATCTTTAAGAATTCAACTCCAGAAAAAAAATACCAACATTTGACGAATAGAAGGAGATGGAATAAGCGCGATAAAGTTTGAAGCAGAGCGACTTCACATTTTAAGTGACGTTTTCGTAGCCATTGCCATCGTTGTTGTTTAAGCTCCCTTTTGAGGAGACAAGGGAAGCAAAGGGGACAGATCCAGCCCTGAAAACGAGGGTGTTAAAATTAATCGACAGAAACCACCAAAGGATTATTCCAGCTACCCTTTGAGAAACTAAAACCTAATAGCGTAGGGGCTTTGACAGCATCGACCTTTTTAGCGTCGTTATGTGAAGCCAACGGAAATATTTTGTGAATGCCAACAAAAAAAGGCCAGAGAGCTTTTACTTTTAAGTGCATATCAATGAACTTGTGCGACTTACTGCAGCTTTCCCGACGCCATACGCAACGTTGAAAATATATGTCATTCCTCCTGCCGATGAAACATTGATTATAAGTCCTTGTTTGGCTGGAACCATCATCTTGGCTGCGTGCCACGCGGCAATGTAATTAGACCTTGATGGAGAAAAGGGACACAAAGAACGCGGATGATGAAGACGACTTAACAAAGAATTCCTTGCTGCCGTAACCTAGTCATTAACATTTAGTGACTATGATACATCAAGTTAAGCGGTTCACGGGAAGTGAGAGATAAACTACAAGTGTACAATACATGCAAAGAAACAAAAAATATGAAATAAAGTCCAGAGCTGTAATGAGCACGCGTGCCTAAGATCCACCCTGCGAGTATGCGATCAAGAGCTCTTCTCCATTAGTATAAAAATCATGTTGGTATCAATATTTTTTATCTTACCAAGGCCTAACACACTATTGCTTGTTTTCCTTTCCGTGACAAGCCTTCTTTTTAAGACATTCAACAGCAAAAAAAGCCTTGAGAGTAATCCACACCGCCAGTACTTAGGAGGGCGAAAAGGTTACAGCCGATTAACTGAGAGTAAAACTGCAAGGCTTACTGCACAGCTTTGAGAATATGCTTATATTTTCCCTTAACAATATTTCTTCAGGCACGGGCTGATGTCAGAGAATGACTATCTACAAAAAAATTGTCACAGTTCAAATAACCAAGAAACTAGCTGGCAGAACGGTCGTTATTTTGCGTTTTTCAGGCGAGCAAAGGCAACCGCGAGGCGGGGGTTGCAAAAAAAATGTAAGAAAACTATTTGAACTACAAAAGGGCCATTTGTTACCTCTCTTCAGGCGACCGGTGAAAATGACCGCCTGAACCTTTAATATCACAAAGTAACGCGCAGTAGATGATGTGCAGTGCAAAACTAGGGAATTACCTTACATACCAAAAAATGTTAATGTGATAAACCATCTCTGAACTGAACAGACTTTTCGTTCTTCAGATGTTCATTTGCTTACCTGAGTCCCACATTGTTCACCTCATCCCACACGTTTGCAGGCTAAAGGATCAGAATCAGGATAACACCAGGTTAATTGCGACCAAACAAACGAAAGAAGAGGAAACAAAGGTGGAATCGTGCCCCCCACCATACAAACGTCTGTAAAATTTCGCGACTTTGTGGAGGAATATCTTGGCTGTCTTTGGACGTATCACCGTTAAACTTGGTAAGTTTCCTATAATTTTGGGGCCCTCTTTCCAGCGGCGTCGATAGATATTCGCTTATTGGTCTAACTCAAAACTTGCACTTGAAAAAAACGATGGAAGGCGCACCTATTGGGCGGTTAGTCTCATTGAACAACCGCAGGGAAAACACCGACCTGTTAGTATAGGTAATAGCATGATTTGTAGTGATATTTGGCATAAATACCACGAGTCATATTTCGAAATTGTTATACGTAATTTCAGGGGCCGTTAGGTGAGTGAAATTTGAGACAATTTTGAAATATCACTAGTGTTATTTATGCCAAATAAAACGTACAAATCATGCTATTATTTGTTTATACTCCTACCTGCAATAGTTTTGTAATTTTCACATGTAGGTATTTCAAATTAAGCTGAAATACCACTGCTCTAAGCCAATCAAATTGCAGAAATTTCTCATGTAGTAGTACAGTTTGTTGTATGTATAAATGTACTAACTGATGTCAGAACAAGCATTGATGCACGGTGGACACTAACAAATTATGACATTAGTTTTGTATTAATAAAGTTCAAGAGATCATCCCTCTAAGTTACAAAATGTTACAAAATGATTCATATTGATTAAATGTCTTCCAAGCAGAATTCTTCAACATCGACAATTAAATTGAGATTCTTACCTGTTCATAAAATGGTTTTTCTTCATTGTCATTCAGTACCTAGGCCATATCACAAAAATCATTAATAGCACACATTTATTACATATAGCAATCATCAGGCATTGCTTCGCAAGAAGCATGAAACTCAGAGTTGCAGTAAATGTTCAAATAACCTAGCTCTTGGAGTGTAATTATTCATAGCTCTAGCTCTGCTATTTCGATATATTAATCACTTTTTGAGTGAACTATAACACTGCTATTAGGGAGCTTAAGCAACCACGACGGCAAGGGCAGCGAAAACGTCGCTTGAAAAGCGAATTCGCGCTGTTTCAAACTTTATTTAATGCTCTTATTCCATTTCATATATTTGTTTAATGTTAGGAATTTTCCGCAAGTTGATTGTAAAGGATTGTATCTAAATCCAGTAAAAGAAAAAAAATTGTTGTCTTGTGTTCACGTCCTCCATAAAACGCGAAGCTAAGAAATTTCACGTCGTAGTCGTGCAACAAAGGCAAAGCAATGTCCAAAAAAGCTTAGCCTGCGAATACTGCCGTCTCTCGGTCCTCGCTCCTTAATATGCACACGAAGTTTCGAGAAAAATAGTGCGCTTCATCTTTCCTACATAGCATAGTAAAGCTGAAGCAGAGGCTATTTTTCTCGAAACTTCTGGTGCATGTTGAGGACAACAACAACTCGCCACATGGTAAATTTCATCGATTTTTATTTCCACTTTCTGGCAAATTTCCAGACCTAAACTTCGCCCCATGTTCGCTATATTTACTCATGTTACGAAACCCGTACGTGACACAAACTGTGAGCCTGGGTTACCTGTGCTTGAACTTGGAGCGAGGAGAAACGGTTGTATTCGCAGGCTACAAAAAAGCGTGATGCACGTGCAAAGTTGTTGTTTTGCAAAACTGATGTTGTTTTAGACCTGTCGCTTTTTCGCCGTTCTCGTTGCCGTCGCTGTCGCCGTTGCTTAAGCTCCCTAATTTAAGTAAGTACTTCACAGTGCACCTGCCACCTTTTTTGAGTCAAAGGCGCGAGAATTTTGTCCTTAGAGTATCAGGATTTTTCGTAAAGGACCCGATCAACGTCGTCCCAAGATTTCAGAAGACGCCGGGTTTCGAAGTGTTCTAAATAACTCAGTTGCAGTGCTTTCTTTTCAAAAACCACTGATTTCTGGGGAAAGTACGATCATTTACATACACTTTCCTTTTCTCGAATTGCTTCGAGTTTATGTTACTTTTATACATTTTTCGAAAATGGGTCCGTTAAGGCTGTGGTTCATATTTTTCCTCCGGCCGTGAGAAATTGGTCCGCAGGCGTAAGATCGAAGTTTCCGATCCGCAGGTGTGAGACTCGCGCCAGGAATAGTGTGCCATTGTCATATTATATGCCCCAGCTGAGGTAGCTTGGAACTTCTAAGTATGAAAGTTTTAAATTTTGGTTTTTTAACGGCATAAGTGGAGCTGTCCACTTCACAACACAAGAATGCCAGTTAAGACAGCTTTGACTGTAGCTTTCGGCCATCCCTAATCTGTGCAGCATATAAACTAGGTTGCATCTGTCATTTTTTGCAGCCTGACTCTCGCCTACAGACTGTACCTTCACTCCTTTGAAAGCATTGTTCACAAGGATATCCAACCGTCCATTTTGTTCTTTGCTAACTTTATCGAACAACTTTTGGACTTCTTGATCGTTTCCATGGTCACACTGCACTGGTATACACTGTCCGGTACTCTCTTGTCCTATCTAAAAAGTCAAATAAAAAGGAACAACAACAACAATATTTTAAAATCGCTGTTTCATTAGATTTCTTACCTTTCGAGTCTGCCTGGCCTCACTACTAGCTTCAACGTAAATTAATACTACTTGACATTTGTAGACTCATGGTTCTCAGACTACAAAAGTCACGATCCCAAAGTGTTCTCATAGATAGTTGGTTCTCTTATGGGTGGACGTAACATCTAGAGTCCCTCAAAGGACTCTCTTAGTACCAGTCCTATTTGTCCTCTTCTGAGAACACTCTCGGTTAGCGTGAAAAACGTGACTCGTGGTTTAATGTAAAACAGTTATTCAAAATCCTTTGCATTTTGATCCTATATTTGAGTCAGTTGTGGGAGATCGCTTCGTAACATCGCATCGCTTGTGTCACGCAAGAGATACGGTAATACCGTAAAGTACAGAATAGAGAGTTTTACATCCGAGATTACCGCGAACCTCTAACCGCGGTTTGCGGTTACCCGTTTGCGGTTCGACGTTCAAACATAATTCGATTTAGATTGGCGGTGGATTAAAGAAGTGGATTCTGAATTTATTTTTCCATTTAGAAATGGAAGAAATATCAATCAGTGCAAACATAAGAAATTTACGGTAACACTGGGTTATCTAGCAGTAAAGAGCTGTAAATTCTTACATTAGTTCTTCTTATAAATTTACGGCCGCCATTTTGAATCAGCAGCCATGAATGGCACTTGTTTTCAAGATCCAATAGGATTTATCAAATTTAGCATTTCGCCCGAATTTATGCCTCTGTTAATGGATAAAGACTTGCTGCACAAGATTTTCGTATCATTACGTGGGATAAAACAAGAATTATACGTTAAAAGCTTTCAGGTAAATGGCATACGTGAAAACCTACCTCCCCACGTTGAAAACGCACGTCGTAAACCTCAAACGTGACGCGAAAGACTTGTCACGTGACTCCTAGCGGTTAGAGGTTCGCGGTAAACTCGGATCTAAAACTCTCTAATACTAAAGCTTTAACAACGTTAAATTTGTGCCGCGTATTTGTCCGTACCGAACGTTAACGTTTAGGAGAAACTACAGTTCAGAACATCCTCTTCATTATAAACGACCTGCCCGAAGCGGTTGTGTGTAACATTTTTCTTCTGAGTCACCGAACACGTTATCATCATCATTGGGCAGCCTGTGGCAGAGCCAATCAAGTCGTCTCCAACCAAAAACACCATTACCTGGAATACCTTACTACTTCATTTACGTCACACGTCTACGATCTTTCGAAAAACAACTTTACGAGTATTCCTTCGATAATTCTACAACCATTTTCGATATAAGTGTATCAGTCAATTCCCGCTGCGCCCATGTCCCTCGCGGGCTAAACCCCGGGCATCAACGTTTTTTTTTTTTTGCCTTGGATGACAAATTCCCCGCGGTGAGGACGAAAAAAGAGGGCAAATGCCCTGTTCCCAATCAACCTGCAGCTGTTAGTCAGTAATCGCAAAGTCGAATAGTGCCACTTTAAGCATTTTAAGGTGCAGTTTATTGTTTCAGTTGACGTCTGCTTTTGTATTAGCAATTCTAATAAGACTTTGCCCCCGGGACTTCATGCGCGGCGACACCAGAGGACACCAATAGGTTTTTCGGTACCTGGGATTTTCCCTATTTGAAGCTCGGGATTTGGGATTTTAAAGCCAAATCGGGGCGAGATTCGGGATTGAAATTAAGAGAGGGAGGTGGGATGCCAAAAATGACCCTTGGGATCATGGGATTGGACGAAATTTTGGGTCGGGATTACGGGACTGAAGAACCCTATTGGGGACCCTCACACCACTTCGGATTTTTTATATTTCATTTTAATTGTTGTAGCATGTTTTAAATTAAGTTCATAGGTAACAAAAGCGTGAAGAAAGACAGAGAACCAAAAATACTAGGCGTGTCACTTGAGACAAGAGTAACACTGAAGCATCATCAATGTCAAAATTTTACCCCTAATTACCTATGCTAACCCCCCTCCACCCACCCACCACCTGCCCAATGGTGACCCCTTCAGGGTGCAAATAAAGTCAGTTTTACAGCTTGCCATTTGGGCAAGCTGCAACTAGCATGTACCAGCTCAAGAGTCATTTCATTAGCCCCAAAAATTTCTTCATGAGCAGGATTCATTACAGTTCTTCTGTTATGTGAATTTCCTAAAAAAAATCATTTGCCCATCGGGCAAGATGAGAACAGAATTCACTAGCCTGATAACAAAATCCACTAGTCCCGGACTATCAAACACAACTTTCTTTGCATGCTGTTCCTGTAACAGACCTAAACTGGAACACCGACACTGAAAAATAATATTGTGGAACATTGTTATTACCTCCTCAGCAGTTTGCCGCAGTGATCCAGTCCTTCCTTCTGTGGCATCAAGGGTCCTTCCTATCAAATATAATTTTTTGCACTTTTAAATTATTTTCATGTAGAAAACAGTTTGTTGGCTGTTTGTGGAGTAGATGATTTATCATACTGTAAGACAATTTCCTAAAAGTTTAACTGACCTGTAATATACACCGTAGCTCCTGCCTTGGCCAGCATCAAGGCAATACCTTTACCAATACCCCGAGATGCTCCTGTCACAATGCACACTTTTCCGGACAATGAAGGGAGTTCTGATGATGTCATGGTGCACCTTGGTGATCTATTGCTTTTGCATAACCATGGAAATTTATTATATCAGATTAGTCTCAGTGCAACTATTAGTCTACACTCCCACACAGCTATTTTATTGCCTTCACACAATTTTAAGCATTGCTTGACAACACTAAAAAATAGCTGAGAGGGAGACTATATAGAGCATGATAGTTATTACTGAGGTTATCATTACCAATTAGAAAAGCTTTACAGCTGAGTTTTAGATATTGCATCAATGAAAGCTTATTAATTAGCTGTTTAATTTTGTTCAGAAAATATCCAAACTTAGCCCACACAGGATGATTTATTTTTTCCTATGAACCCATTCACCAGCCCCTCCACCCCTTTGTTAAGCTTCAGAAATATCTTATTAAATTTCTGGCCTCTAGGACTCCCCTACCCAGGAGATAACTCCTAATAACCCTCCAAGGGGTTGATATGGAAATTTTCTGGAACTGCAATATAGAGCCATTTATACAGGAAAAAATATGACACGTCTCATCACATGAGATGTGTATTACACAACCAATTTATTATGAGTTGTGTCTTAGCTGGTTCACTATAAGTCACATGATTTGAAGACTGCATTGTTTGTACCATAAATATACATTAATTCTCCCCTAGATGATTGCATCTTGTTTACAATGCATTTTCTGTAAGATATACTTTGTGTAAATGGCCCTATTATTGTATCATTAACCCTTGATTAAAGTTCAATCTACAGCCCATTTTTTAAGGGCAGATTCATCAATTTTGAAAGAGGGGCTGTAAGACCTAGGGGTAACAACTTTTCCTCTCCACCTCTCACTTAAAAGTTTCTGATAGCTGTATTTAAAAAAGTAAACCGTTATGTTATGTGGTTGGGACATGTAATATGGAATTTCCAGCATTTGAATGGATACAGCTCTGATCTAGTCTATCTACCACATGTTAGAATGTAGTAGGAGTTCCTGTTGTAGTATAGCGTATTGTTATCTCTTGGTGCTCGGCCGAAAACGGCCAAAATAAACCTAATGGTGGGTACTGCGTCGTGGAGCCGAAATGGCCCATTTCTTAAACGTTTTAAAGGGCACTGCATTCATTGGGGTGTTACGTAACGATTCATCGCAGGTCTCACGCACATTTTCCAGCGAAACTCAGTCGCTGGAGGCTCAATGAATAAACTGCATGTAAGCATTGAAATAAGAAAAAAACCCAGCCTGATCCAAGTTTATATTGAAAATTCTGAACTTAAGCTTAGTTTTGTTTTTCTAAACTATAATTATATTACTTTTTATACTCTAGTATTACTAATAACAAGCTTAATGGAAAGACGAAAAGGACAAATGGACCTACCTCGACTTTCGTCAAAATCTACGTCTTTATACTCTGAAGACAAGCAAACAAAACAGCAAACGCTAACTTAAAGCAAAGTCCAGTGTTCACATCAGCTTATGTAAGAGCGTGACGATGCAAGTTTAAAAAAGTTCGACAGAAGAATCAATCACCCGCCAAAATGTTTGTTTCTGCCAGGCGGTTTCGTGAGTAGTCTGCTATACCCTCCAGGGTAGAGTCAGGAAAGACAACGCCCCAAAAACTTGGTTAGCGGCCAAGAAAAACTATAAAAGCTCTTGGCAAATTTTATAATACCAGTAGTCACGAATGCTAACTATGATTTCGAGCACTTTTATTTGTCAAAATTTATCTTTTTTTTTTTTCGGTTTGACGTGGCATGGGGTGGGGGAGAGGGAATATTTGGGTAGCTTACCCACCTCTCACCCACACCGTCGGGAAGAAGTTTCACTTCTTTCCAGTTTCTTTCAGAGCATCAAGAGATGCCTGAAACATGAGATTGTGGTCGAATGTAAGAGGATTTTGTGCAACAATTTGGTCTTCAAGAATGAGTTCTACTACAGCTTCAAGTAGAAGACTTGAAGGAAAAGTTGCAATTGTTACAGCATCAACAGACGGGTGGGTAACGCAATATTTTTTCAGCTCATTTGAACTACAAATTGAACTGATAAAATCTATAATCGAATCTCAGGCTCAAAAATTTTGTAGTCATATTTGCAAGAAAAGAAAACTTAAAAGTAAAGAAGAGTTTGTACAGACTAGCCGTAACTAAAGGTTAGGAAGTGCTTGCGAACATGTACGTTCACCTTAAAGGTGCGATTGATATTGAGAACCGCTTTTTTTTAAGTGTACTTGAATCAGAGAAAGCCCCTTTACGTGTAGTTCCAGTGTCAACAAAAGGAATCGGGGCGGATCATGAACGTGGAAACTGAATGGAACAAGTCAGTAAACAAATCAAATTTTGAGTTCCACGATTTTATTTTCAGTGGCTTAGATATGATTAGCTTGCGAACCATCAGAAGCGAGGAGAGACAGCTGGATGACAGCTGTATTCGCAGGCAAAGGTACAGTGGAACCCCACCTTATGGCCACCTCGTTAATACGGGTCACCTGGTTATTATGGCCAAATTTTTCCAGCCCATTGGTGACCGTATTAATGGGGTTCCACTGTACAATGAAAACGGTAATGTGTGACATAAACAACACTCAACGTGGAATTATACAGTCATGTCATGACTACTTGAAGTCCTTTTATTCAATGGGATATTCAATCCATGTTCAATGACCAAAGGGCATTGAAATGTAATAGAAAATCATGAAAAAAGTTATTGAAGCTTAGATGAAAAGTAACATAACATGCTTGGAAATGTATAGAAATACAAAAACCATGCACTCTGTAGTACAGTGTAACCTGAGTTAACTTAGTTACATGGGTGTATAGACTTTGTAATCACTTGTATCTTACCGAAGACTCGTCCTGCACTAAGCTGAGATCAGGCTCTACTTTCATTTCCCTTGGTAAATAGATTTCCGGCTGGCAGTGTGTATTGAAAAGTCTTGTATATAGTGCATTACATGTATACCTGAATTTTATTATGTGCGTTTTTTCGAATCAAACAAATATTGTTCTTACATCACTTGCATTTGCATTCACGTGATTACAGAGAACCTTAAACTCAACACTAGGGCCTTTGTGGCCGTACCATGCATAGTGGTTGGCTCATCATGGCCATCCCAAGAGTGAGGACAGATTTTGGAAAAACCTCGCTATACAGTTTTATAAAGTTCCAGTGACCAAGAAAAGTCTGTGGGTTTCTCTTGTTGCCTGCAAAAAGCAGAATAGACCTGCTATTATGGCACTTTATATTATATGCCGATTTCACGTTGTTTTCTCTTGTTGTGCATAAAATTATACCGTATTTTTATTATTCTATACATAAAGCTTACAAAAACAAAGGAAAATAGAAGATTAAACCAATGATAAGCTTAAAATTGATTCACACTAGTGATACATATTTTCCCTGTAAAGAAGTGTAAATGTTCATTCCACACTTTTGAATAGATATTTTGAAAGGATTATGGTCATATGAGTGCTTTGTAATTCCCATAAATTAGGCTAAACGATTAGATTTGGCTGAGAGGCGTGTTTGCATCAAGATGTTTTTCAGTTAGCCTGGGACCAAGCTTTGAAGTGGGGGAAAAGGTGAATGAAATGGGCGAGCGAAGCAAGTCGAGCAGGAGTCTAACCCTTTCCCCCTCCCCAAGCCATTGCTTGCCTCTCTTTGCTTGCCGATTTTTCTTTCTGTTTCAACCTGCCTTTTATCTTTTTCTCCCACTACAGTGCCTGCTCCCAGGCTATTTTCCTATGCACAAGCTAATCATGCAAACGTAAATTTGAAAAAGTTTTGGAGCTGAAAACTTGACAAGTTACCTTATCTATCCATTTCCTCGACAGATGATTATGAAACATGGAAAAACTAAACATGCTGTATGAAGGTTGTTTCAGTTAAGTCAGTCACTGTCAACAACAGTCCTCTTCATGGCCCAGTTGTTCGAAAGATGGATATAGTACTATCCAGTGAATAAATCTCTATCCAGTGGTAAATTTTTATTGCTTAAATTTCATATTGTAGGTAAATTATTTTCTTTCTAATGATGTTCATTATCATGCTCAATTAAAAACTAAAGAGAGCCCAACCCCCTATCGAAGTCCACATGTACAGCTGGGCTGCAAAGTGAAGCAAGGTCTTAACTTGGAAAATGTTGGATGCTACTGTTTGCCAACTACCTGATTTATAAGCTAAGGAAAATTTCCACAATATTTTAAGAAATTTCAAAAGCAAAACATTTTACTAGTTTAGCAGGAGTGCCAGCTTTTTTTCTAAAGGTGATATTTGATACTTTGTACGTGTAATTTTATTTTATTACTATGATAATATTAGTATTTAAATTTCCACTTCAAGATAGGATTTGGAATTGCCAAGCAGCTTGTTCGAGATGGTGCCAAAGTCATGATTAGCAGTTGGAAACAAGACAGGGTTTCTAGTGCTGTTTCAGAGTTGGAAAACCAGGAGCGAGGTTGTGAAGTTAAAGGTGTGGTGTGCCACGTCGCAAAGCCTCAGCATCGTAAGAATCTCTTTGAAGATTAGAGGTCAGTATGTTTTGCAAATCCACTAATGTCACAGTGAAACTGCTTATTATAGTAGTGTCTCATGCAGCTGTTCTTTCACGGTCTGAAATTTGTTGTGATCCAGTCATCAGAAATGAACAAATTTTAACAGTGACGACCAAATCATGGACTGGTTGCCTATGTAATTCAAGCTGCAGTCTAGGGGCCAATACTTGTACATGTAACGGAGCTTTATTTATTCCGGGTGCTTGAACATTCAACATAGCTGACTACAGGAATGAATAGTAATAACAGTAATCCGCAGTGGCCGCTGACCAACACTGCCCACCTCGTGAATACACAAACATTTGTGAAAAGACACCGTTAGGTCATAGGTCGAGATTTAACTCTGCATGAGAAATGGTACAGTGTTATAAACAGTCCATTGGTTGAAAGATTCAGAAATAAACGCTGGAGATTCAAAGGCTCTAATCATTGCAAACAAGAAAACCCAGTCAGAGACAGAAGCTTTCAACTGGAACCACAACACAACTTAATACAGCTTCTTCAAGGTGGTTAACAGCTGACCATGGCTGTTATTGGGGACGAGATAATTTTCTCTTTGGACACCTAGATCTGAAAAGATGATTTCCAGTGGTTGTCAAAAATTAATTTCAGACCCTGTCTTTTGTCTAGGTCTGAAAAGATGATCAAAAATGGATTTCGGGCACTGTCTTTGTCTCGTCATGCAAAGCATGAAGAGACAGGTAATGGCTGCATGGGAGACTATATGGTAGACTTTTGTATGTTATGCTTTTGTTTCCCGACTTAAATGCTCCACCTTAATGCTCCTTTTTTTTCCACTAAAATGTACAGTCTCCCCCAATAAAGTCACTAAAATTCTCAATAGTGCCCATTATACAGAGTCTTTGTTAAAGATGATCCTCTAAATGGCTGTACTAGGGTGGCATTTGTCTTTTTTTAGGTGGTGGTGGGGGGATTTTGACTTTTAATAAGTGTTCATTTTCTCTTAAAAAGTTCTTTAAGTTTCATTTTCTCTGAAAAAATAATCATTTTCCGAGAAAATTCCACTAAAATGCTTGAATAACGCTTAATGCTTTTACCTCACCAAAATCCTCAAAAACGAAAACTAGTTTAAAGCATTATAGTGTGCAAAAGCTTACTATATTGTAAGCTAATTTTTGCGTAATAATGAATAGTTAACTGATACATGTAGTTTGTGCATTTTGTTTTTAGACTTTGCAGCAATTTGGTGGGATTGATATCTTGGTATCAAATGCAGCGGTCAACCCAACATTTGGCCCACTTCTGCAGGTATTACTGGCAAAGGCCAATTTTACTATCTAAGGTATTTAACAGTGCTGTACGTCAGTTTTAAAACAACCTGTTCCTTTTTCACTCATGTGGTGCACTGTAAGACTTGTCCTTATTCATTAGGAACTAAAGGGAATTAATGCTTTTAAGTAGCATTTTACTCCAAGTAATGTTCAATTGTATGTATTCTTAGGAACTCAGGCTACTCCAGTAACCATGACTGATCCAGGAGAAACCTAGTTTCATGAATAATTGCCAACGAGCAGCCTTGCGAAGACGCGAGGCTGCGAGGCGACAGCCTAATAAAGCCATGCGCGAAAGTTGCAAGGCAGAATGAATCTCGAAGCGATATAACATTAGGTAGAGTAAGGTGACATAATTCAGAACAGAGAATGCATCGTTTTCGAGCGAACACGTGAAACAACAGAGAATCCACGAGCCGTGTGCTTGTTTGTGAGTCCCATGCTCATCCCGTCTTCAGCCAATCTTCGGGTGGGTTCATTTGCAACATACGCACATAGCTGTCGCATTTGCCTGCTAGCGTTTTTTATTGTTTTTAGGCTTAAAAACAACAGAAAACTCCAGCGGGCAGATGCGACAGCTACACGCGTATGTTGCAAGAAAGTGAATAAATCCACCCGTCATTTAGGGCCTGTTTACATGGAGGTGGGGAACCATAGGTAGGTGAGGTAACCTGCTTATGTGGGGTAAAAAAATAACCCTCCTTTACATGCAATCTTACAACTCCGCCATCCCGGGGTGCAATTTCTCAAAATTATTCAGTGGTTGCCAAGGACGTAAACAAGAAAAATGCTGGCAAACCACGTGTTTTGGTGATTAATGCACTTCTACACTCCTTTGTTGCTCTTGCTGCAACCTTCAGTGCTGTGGCTTTCTATTGTTAACTTTAATAATGATGCAAAGCCACCGCCAAAGTGAATTTTGCGCGAATTTGATGTATCACGAATCCGACCCCGGCCAGGCGGGTTACCCCACCTTGAAACGTTTACTTGGCAAAATTTGACCACGCCTGAGAGGGTAAACCGGTCTGTTTTGACTGTCACAGGATCTTTAGACCCAAACGTTCTCCTTATTAGACCCAATACTCGATTTGCCTTACCAACAATGTAATTGATATGAGCGTCCCACCTTAAAGAAGATTCAGTCCAAATGCCCAAGTGCTTATGTTTATCAACAGCCGACAGATTATTCTCATTTATCGCATACTGATGAACTAAAGGACAATTGGACTTGGTAACATGTAGAGCCTTACACTTTTCCGACTTCAGTGTGACCTTCCACAAGTCACACCAGGAGGCGGCAGACAAGAGGTCATCTTGAAACTCGACACAATCATCTACAGATGCGATCTTACGATAGAGTACACTGTCATTAGCAAAAAGCTCTGTGCTACAGCTTACACTTAGGGGGAAGTCATTTATATACAGCAGGAAAAGAAGTGGCCCTAATATACTCCCTTGAGGAACACCAGAGGACGCCTCCATCCATTCTGATGAATGACCTCCAATAACGACTCTTTGTGTACGGTCTGACAGATAGTCATGAAACCAGGAAAACAAATGACCCCGAATGCCATAACACTGCAACTTATAAAGCAAGTGATGATGAGAAACCTTGTCAAAGGCTTTTGCAAAGTCCAGAAAGATGACGTCGACTGAGTCACCCTTCTCAAGAGAACTGTACCATGAGTGTAGCAGCTGAAGAAGTTGAGTGACACATGAACGAGCTTCTCTAAAACCATGCTGGCTCTCACTCAGCAGCCTATGATGTGGTAAGAACTTCATGATATGTTTATGGATGATACGCTCCAAACACTTCACTAAAATACTTGTAAGAGAAACTGGTCTATAATTTTCAGCCAAAGGTCGTTCACCAGATTTATGGATTGGAACAACATTGGCAGATTTCCAGACACTTGGTAACTTGCCATGATCCAATGAAAAATTGAACAGCTGTGATATTGATGGTGCCAACTCAGCAGCACATTCCTTCAGAATTCTTGGTGAAATTGCATCAGGACCAATCGCCTTGTTTACATCGAGGGAACTAAGAACTTTATACACATCAGCCACTGAACATGACAAGTCATTAACGGTGCCCTCAGTGAAAGGTGTAAAATCCTCATAAGCTATCTCTACAGATCTTTCACTAAATACACTATGAAAGAATTTATTGAACAAATCAGCTTTCCTTTTTGGCGTAAGAGCAGACTGACCACCATATTGAACACAGCGGGGAATACTAGCATTACCAGTGCGTGATTTTACAAAGGACCAAAATTTTTTCGGCTTGGAAGGCAAAGATGCTGTTAGATTAGCAACATAATTCCGGTACGCTTTGTTTAAACTATCCTTCACCTTATTGCTAAAGGACTTGTATTGATCCCATTTAACAGGGTCCCTTGAGGATTTTGCTTTCCTCCACAAACGCCGTTTACGTTATTTACGGAGATCGTTGCGCGACGCTGATCGATCATGGAAACAAGATGCTGTGTGAGCATATATTTGGGCGTGGTCGTACTACCGGTATGATACTTTGAACATGCCTTATTGCAGCTAAAGAACTGTCATCATATCTTACCAGAGAAGACAAATCCTTTACTCCACTTGTTTGCTGAACCACACAGCTTATACAGTATGTCCCAATCCACAACAAAAATAGTGTGATTTCACGACAATGTTTGAAAATATGCACATCTTCAATGCAGACATGCTTGGAGCCAAATTACAACATAGGACATAAGTGGTTACAGCCCAGAGAGTAAGGTTTATCTCAGCTCCACTGATACTGACAGATGTGTTTTCACACCCATCACTTTGTACAGTGTATTCCGGTTACTAACAAGGGCAAATAAAGTTCCTTAAGTCCAGTATCCACAAGGATTAATAAGAGAGTAACACATTGCATAAACTGCTATAGGGCAGCACTGTTTACAGGAACATTGGTAACTATTAACATTTGATATACTTTATCAAATGTTAATAGTTACCATTTATCAACCGCGTGAAATATTGTTTTGATAGAAAGACTTTGGTTTTAATTATTACATCTCTTGTCTTTAGCAAAATGCTCTACTGTTCGACCGTGTGGTCTAATACCTCATCTAAGAACATCCAAAAGCTGCAACTTATTCAGAATTTCGCCTGCAAAATTATCTGCGGCGCTCGGAAATATGACCACGTGACGCCATTACTTGACGAACTCAACTGGCTTCCAGTTAGCAAGATGCTCAAATTCAGAGACGCTGTTATGGCTTATAAGTGTGCCAGCAATGTAGCTCCTGAATACCTATGTGCTAAGTTTAAAAAACCATCTTCTGTACATAATCGCTCAACCCGTAATAATGAGAAGTTCGAAATCCCATTATTCAGGTCAGCCACTGGCCAACGTACCTTCGCCTATAGAGCAGTATCCCTGTGGAACACGTTAGACGAAGACCTTAGAAACGCTACAACTGTAAAGGCCTTTAAGAAAGCCCTGAAACTTGTAATGAATGAATGATCGAATGACAGTTAGCATTTAACAATTATTAGCTTGTTACATATAGCTTGCATTTATATTTGTAAATAGGTACTGAAAAACCCTTTTTTTGGGGGGGGGAGTATTTATTAAAGTTTTAATTTTTTAATTTAATATACTACAATCTTCAACATTGCTTGAGAAAAGATGAGGTTCAAAGGTGGC